TATCTTCACCTACTTTCCATCTCCTACTAGATCATGATGATGATTTATGGTTCTTTGTTTTTCCCAGGTAAAATTTACATACTTTGAAGCATACACATTTTAGCTGTACGATTTTGGCAAATCGACATGCCCATGTAGCCCACATGCTTATCAAGACAGAGCATTTCTCATTTCCATCTTAAAGCCCAAAATATATGCAAATCCTTTTACCTAGCAATTCCACTTCCAGGAATTATTTGTCTAAAGAAAATAAGAAGATACATACATGGAATTTGAAGGATACTACATACTCCAAATTCAAGGCCTAAGCCTGAATTTGCAAATCATCTCTCAGATATCTGCGTAGCTTTATAGATAACTTTATTTCAGGCTTTTTTTTTTTTTTTTTTGAGAGAGCGAGCAAATGGGGGCGGGAAGGAGAGGCAGAGGGAGAAGGAACGAGAAAAATCTCAAGCAGGCTCCATGCTCAGTGCAGAGCCTGACGCAGGGCTCAATCTTACCACCCCAAGATCATGACCTGAGCTGAAATCAAGAGCCAGACGCCCAGCCGACTGAGCCACTCAGGCACCCCTTTATTTCAGGTCTTTGTTCAATCATTAGTCTTCCACAATCTCTTTTAAAAAAACAGCATCTCTCCAGCCTATCTTATTTTTCTTCATCTTTCATCACCTGACATATGAATGTGTCTATGTGGTGTGAATATATATACTCTCTCCCACCCCGACTCCCTCACCATTACGTAAGGAGTAGAGACTTTTTTTTGAGACTTTTGTTTACTGTTCTACCTCTATCTCACTGGACACTGCCTGAGATATAATGACAATCTAAAGTTGTTGAATGCAGGAAGTTAACCATAGCATTATTTTATACTAATGAAAAACTAGAAATAATCTAAATTTCAACTCATAGATTCATTAATTAATAAGTAACTGAAACCTTATTGGATGATCAGAGCAAGTAGTTGCTTAGTTAAGTTAAAGTAGGAGCTAGAAATTTTGGTTATTGCTATGCTCACCAGGGGTCTTGTCAGGTTCCACAATACATTCAGACTCAGGAGACTACCACAAACATGCTTGGCCCAGTCTATTCAGAAAGATAAAGGACAGAACCACAATAGGTTGGCAGGGCAGCCTCAGGTGTCCCTCTTGGTGGCAATCCTTGCAGCACTCATATGGATGACACCTCACATGCCATCCAAAAGTTAGGACAGGAGACCCATATCATGCAGGTGCAGGAGCTGCTTCGCTTAGTGCCCCACAGGAACTTGTTATCTCGTGTAACAAGGCCACAAAGTTCCCAGGGTCCCCACAACGGACATGCAGTTTCAAGAGCAACTGCACTTAAGGAAGCCCTAAGTATATATGGTGAACCATAAGGTACCGATAGTTCTCCCAATCCAAATGCAATCAATCAGGGGTCAATTTCATCATGGTACTGTTCCCTTTAGTACAACAGACATCAATAGTTACCAGGTTAACGGGTGTGGCAGATTATATTTTTAGAAAACAGAGACAACAATATTTCTGGTCCCACAAACTCTTCCAAAACCTTGCCACATCCCCATCGAGAGAGGGAATCCATGTTCCCTCCCCTTGAAACCAGGGGAAACTCTCACTGCCTCGATGAACACAATGATAGAGATGACGTACTGTGACTTGTGAGCCTAGGTCATATAAGATGACCTTGTTTGGCTCTTCTTGAGATGTCTGTCTGTGGAACTCAGCTAGCAGGTTATGGAGAGGCCTTGGTTCAGTGTTCTGGCAAAGAGCCCCAAATATAGTCTCAGCCAATAGCCAGCAGCAGCTGTTGGAATGTAGGTGAGGAAACCTTCGCCTTGCGCTGGCCCTCACTAGTGCTAAGTGGGGCAGACACGGCTACCTCTACCACGTTCTGCCCAAGCTTTGGGATGGTTTGTTAACGCAGCAACACGTAACTGGGGCAGATTTTGGTGTCTGGAAGTTGGGTGCTACTGTAACAAAAAACCTAAAATGTACGGGAGAGGTTTGGGTATTAGGCAGTGGGTGGAAATGGGAAAGACCTTGAGGCAAGTATTCATGAGAGACTAGGGCCTCAAAGAGACTTAGAGCCTGAGGGCCCTCAAAGCCGCTATGAGGGAGAACTTTAGGAAAATCGTTACTGGAAGCTGCGAGAAAGGGGACTTCTGTTTAGCAACACTGTTGCTTGTAGTAATGTGGAAAATAGGAAATACACCCAGTGAATTGGGTGAGCCAGTCTAAGGAGACTTCCAGTGTAGAAGGTGCCTCCTGGCTTCTTAGTTGCCGATGATAAAATGTAAGACAGAGATAAGAAAGAACTGTACCATATAAAGGAACCAAGACTTGCTGGAGTCAAAATAAAACATTTCTCCTTCTCAGCCCCTCCAGGCAGCAAATGATGCTAAAATTTAAAAATGGCTTCTGATATGATATCAGTGATATGTGGAATTTAAAAACAAGGCAGAGGATCATAGGGGAAGAGAGGAAAAAATGAAACAAGACGAAACCAGAGAAGAAGACAAACTATAAGAGAGTCTTAATCATAGGAAACAAACTGAGGGCTGCTGGAGGGGAGGGGGGTAGAGGGATGAGGTGGCTGGGTGGGGGGCATTGGGGAGGGTATGTGTTGTAATGAGCACTGGGTATTATATTAACACTTATGAATCATAGACCTATACCCCTGAAACAAATAATACTTTATATGTTAATTAATTGAATTTAAATAAAATTAAAGAAAAAGAAATGGCTTCTGAACAGAGATCAAATTCAGTGCAGTGTCAGGAAAAAATGGTTTAATGATAAAGCAAAAGGCATCACTACAAAACCCTTTGTTAAAACCTTAGATTTATTTTTTTTTCAAAGATTTTATTTTTAAGTAATCTCTACCCCCAACCCGGTGCTTGAATTCACCACCCCAAGATCAAGAATTGCATGCTCGGGGCGCCTGGGTGGCTCAGACAGTTAAACATCTGCCTTTGACTCAGATCACGATCCCAGGGTCCTGGGATCGAGCCCTGCTTCTCCCTCTCCCTCTGCTGCTCCCCCTGCTTGTGCTCTCTCACTATCAAATAAACAATAAAATCTTAAAAAAAAAAAAAGAATTGCATGCTCTAGCAACTGAGCCAGTCAGGCACCCCAAGATCTTAGATTTAAAATGGTGCCTCAGAGTGCCTATAAACAGACAATAGGAATTCTAAGAAACTTATGGGTGTGGTCCAACAGCCTTGCACTGGGAGCTCAAAGTAGAATAGGACTTAGGTTCCCAAACAATGCCCTAAGGCACCCTGCAGCACCACAGGGAAATAAGCCATTTGTCAGTGACTGCGTAAACCACTAAGTCAAGGTGGTTCCCAGTTTTAACGTTAGACTACTCCATTTCTTTTGATGACATCATGTCTTTGTGAAGATGGTTCTCTGTCAGTTGCTATGATAAAAGGACCCCCCAAAATCTGTATGAAAAAGGAAAGTATCCAATGTTATCCAATATGATTCCCAGGCTACATCATAAAAACAATACAAATTCCTTCTGGCTCACTTTCTCTTGGGACACTTGCCTTTGGAACCCAGACACCATGCAGTGAGAAAGCCCAGGCCACACAGTTCTGTACTAAGGTCTTAGCTAACAGGCAGCTTCAGCTGTCAGAGTTATGAATGAGCAAACCTTCCGAGTGAGGACAGCATTGAGCAGAGATTAGCCTTCTCCACTGTGTTCTGTTCAAACTGCTTGACCCACAGAACCCATGAGCATAAAAAATAGTTGTTTTATGCCACTAAATTTTGGGATAATTGCTATGCAGCCACCCTAACTATATCAATGGCTGCTCAATATTTATACAAATAAAAAACTAAAATCAGGTCATACATGGAGCCATGACAGTCATCATGAATCAAAGATGATTAACCCAAATCTGTGCATCTAGGATCCCTTAAAAAAAGAGGGTGGAGTACAAAATCATTAAAACATACATTTAAAAACTTGTTTTAATTAAGTAAACTCTATGCCCAATGTGGGGTTCAAATTCATGACCCCAAGATCAAGCGTTGCATGCTCTACTGACTGAGCCAGCCAAGTGCCCCTAAAGATATTTTTAAAAAAGATTTGTTTTTTAAAGATTTTTATTAATTTATTTGACAGAGAGAGAGCCAGTGAGAGAGGGAACACAAGCAGGGGGAGTGGAAGAGAGAGAAGCAGGTTTCCCGCTGGGCAGGGATTTATTTATTTATTTTAGAGAGAGAGAGAAAGCACAGAGAAGAAAGCAGAGGGAGAGGAACGAGAAGACTCCATGCTGAGCATAGAGCCCAGCGCGGGGCTCAGTCTCATGACCTCCTAGATCATGACCCCAGCCCAAACCAAGAGTCCGATGTTCAACCAACTGTGCCACCTAGGAGTCCCTAAAAGATAATTTTTTTTTTAAGATTTTATTTCTTTCTTTGACAGAGAGACACAGCGAAAGAGGGAACACAAGCAGGGGGAGCGGGAGAGGGAGAAGCAGGCCTCCCGCAGAGCAGGAAGCCCGACGCGGGGCTCGTTCCCAGGACCCTGGGATCATGACCTGAACTGAAGGCAGACACTCAACCATCTGAGTCACCCAGGCGCCCCAAAACATAAATTTTTTAAAACAAATGTATCTCTTGGGGCGCCTGGGTGACTCAGTCATTGAGCCTTCAGCTCAGGTCATGGTCCCAGGTCCTGGGATAGAGACCCACATCGGGCTCCCCGCTCGGCGGGAAGCCTGCTTCTCCCTCTCCCACTCCCCCCGCTCTCACTGTCTCTCTCTCTGTCAAAGAAATAAATAAAATCTTAAAAAAAAAAAAAAAACTTTCTTTAAAATGAATAAATAAATAAATAAAACAAATGTATCTCATTCACCAATCTTTTGACGCAGGACCAAAACCCTTCTTTGAATAGAAATTCCAGCATGTATCTTTTATATATACACTGCACTCATAGTACATCCTCCAAGAGTTCCAATTTTGGTTTCTTTAAAGTGGAAACTCAGATCAAGAATTTAAAAATGTTTACAAAGAATTCTGAGTGCAGAATTTTCTTACATTTTTCTGCTTGTCTCATTCATACCTAATTGGAAAAGAATTTTAAAAGTTTCCTTTTCTGAGTCTTTGCAAAGCATTCATTTTAACCATTTCTATAATAGATAATTAAATTATATAATTATAATAAAAACCACAGTTGGTCACAAACAGGTCTGGAAGCTTAAAAAAAAACTCTTGACAAATATATACATATATGTATATGTGTGTGTGTCTGTATCATCTAATTCTATATACTTTTATATTTTTGTTTTATTTTGTTTCTATAAAGGAGGAGGAAGATGGGGCACCTGGCTGGTTCAGTCAGTAGAGCATGTGACTCTTGATCTCAGGGTTATTGGGTTTGAGATCCACATTGGGTGTAGAGATTCTTAAAAATAAATAAATAAATAAATAGAGAAGAAGGAAGTACCTATGATGGGCATGCACTGAATTAGCTTATTCTCTACCACCCAATTATGCTTTCCAGGGGTAGTTTTGATACAATATAGAAACCAAGAAGTTTCATAAAAATATTAAGTCATTCTAAAAATAGAAATCTACATTAGCTGCTGATTCTGCTAAGAGAAGTCAGAGATGGGGATGTTTAAGCCACATACCTTATTATTTGAATCAATGACATCATCTGTGTAAGACTCACCATTATTTAAGTATCATTAAAACGAAACACTGCCATTTAAACTACAAGACAATGCTAAAATATTATTGATTGCATTTAGAATCAGTGAAATATAATACTCTTTTCACAAGCACAAGTAATTACAATATTTTGAAGAAACCACATAAGCTGAGAACACTGATAATTACTGGTCAAAGGAAGTCATAAAACAGCTGTAATCAATATGCTTAAATTCTATCCTAAGTGGAACTTTTTAAAATGGAAATTTCAAAAACCAGTCCTTCAGAGACATGAGGCTACCTCCAAATCAGGATATAAACGATTTGGTAACTAACAGTTTAAAGAGGCAATTAAATGGCAGTTAATAACACTGATGAATATGTAAGAAAACATGTGGAATTCTCAATTAGATCATGACTCTTTTCCTCTCTAGATTGTATGTGGATGTCCCCTTCTTATTTATTTATTTAAAAGATTTTTTTCCCCCTTTTTAAAAATTTCTAAGTAGGCCCCCCGCCCAGCATGGAGCCCATCACGGGGCTTGAAGTCACGATCCTGAGATCAAGACCTGAGCTGAAATCAAAAGTCAGATGCTTAACCAACTGAGACACCCAGGCTCCCCTTAAAGATTTTATTTTTAAGTAACCTCTAAACCCAACATGGGGCTTGAACTCACAACCCCAACATCAAGAGTCACATGCTCTACCCATTGAGCCAGCCAGGTGCCTCTCTCCTTCCTATTTAAATATAGAAGGGTAACAGTATCTCTCATGTAAGTGTTAGAGTCTCTGTGTTTATAGACTGATAGTCTTCATGTAGCATCTCCCAGGTCCTCTGATTTCAATTTTTTTTTTTCCCCTAAAAGAAAGAGGAGTTTCAAAAATTACTTTCAATGTAATTGAAATTCAATTCAATTTACCTCTTCTCTGGGACATCCTCCGGAGCTTTTTGAAGCCTGGCAATTGTAGCTTCCACACTCTTAAGGTGTCTTCTGCTGGATGGCCTTGTTGTTTGCACATTTACTGAGCTTAATTCAATTTTCATGCCCTTAATAATACCTAACAAGTCTTTTTTTCTATTCTCCTTTACACTCTCTTGGCTCTCTGTTTCTTTGGAAATCTCAGGTGTTGGAGCAGACTGCTCATCTTTCTTGCTATAGATCACATTGTTAGTGCCAAAATATCTTTGGGCATTATTTTTTGTCCTGGAAAGAAGCATTAAAGGAAAAAAAAGAAAAATACAATGCAAAATAATAAAACAAGGATTCAAAACACTGCTTCTGTGTATTTTTAAAATTTTCTAATTCAAACCCTTCCCTTTTGCTTTTTATTATTATTGTCAGTGACCATAACAACAGCAATGTAATATTTATTGAATATATACTATGTGCTTCGTCTGGTGCAACATATTTACTACATTTCCTCATACCCACAACAACTCCACAAGTATTATCCCCATTCTGCAGATAAGGAAACTAGAAACCAGAGAAGTGAAGTGATTTACCCAAGGTCATGTAGCTCAGGGCTCACTAAGGCCTAAGACACACTGATGAGTCACAAATGGGTTACACGTGTGCTGAGACTGACTGATCACCTGGTCCCTGGGGTAGCTGGGTGAAGTGCGGCGCTGCTGGTGCTCCTATCTGTTGTCTCCCTCCATTTACCTCAAGGTTTGATACAAAGATCATTTTTTATGCGTTCCATAACATTTTAAAAAGGAGACAACTTTCTGATCCACCATCTGCGGTGGAAACGTCACCAAGATGCAGATTTTCATGAAAAACCTTACAGGGAAAAACCACTCTCCAGGATGAACCCTCGGATATAACAAACTGTGAAGGCCAAGATCCAGGATAAGGAAGGAATTCCTCCTGATCAGCAGAGACTGATCTTCACTGGCAAGCAACTGCAAGATGGACCTACTTTGTCTGACACAACATTCAAAAGGAGTCCACTTTTCTTCTTTGGTTGAGACTTCCCGGTGGTGCTAAGAAAAGGAAGAAGTCTTACACCACTCCCAAGAAGAATAAGCATAAGAGAAAGGTTAAGTTAGCTGTCCTGAAATACTATAAAGTGGATGAGAATGGCAAAATCAGTCACCTTCATTAGAAGTGACCTTCAGATGAATGTGGTGCTGGAGTTTTTATGGCTAGCCACTTTGACAGACATTATTGTGACAAATGTTGTCTGACCTATTGCTTCAACAAAGTGGAAATCAAGTAACTGTATATGGGTTGATAAAAGACATGAACTAACATTAAAGAAAAAAAAAACAGGTTGCATGGGGTGCCTGGGTGGCTCAGTCAGTTAAACATCTGCCTTCGGCTCAGGTCATGATCCCAGGGTCCTGGGATCAAGTCCCACATTGGGTTCCCTGCTCAGCAGGAAGCCTGCTTCTCCCTCTGCTGCTCCCCCTGCTTCTGCGCTCGCTCTAATAAATAAATAAATAAATAAATAAATAATCTTAAAAAAAAAAAACTATCAAAAAAAGCATTCTGAAACAAACCATTTGATCTGCTTATAAAAATGTCAGAGGCTATCAAATCAGGCACTTAACAATTAGAATGCAAAACCAGCTGCGTAACTAATATCCTTATAATCAGTACACAGGACCTTCATCATATCATTCAATTTATGGTACAATTCAATTTAGGAAAATACTCTATTATTTCGCATGTGAAAGTTAAATTAATAGTAAAGGTATAACAAAAGGTGGCAATCAGGAGAATGAATCTCACATATAACCTCCCATCCTTCAATGTTTCCTTCCAAGACTGCTACGGGGCCACAGAAAGCAATCTATATTTAGTATAGGAAAATCATGTATAGGCAGTAACTCCGTAACACTAAAATAATAAAACTTCGGTGGTAACTTCCCACCTGGGCTTGTTTCTACTGAGAGCATCTCATCAGCACTTCAAATACAACACATCCAAAACCACATTCAAGAGCTCCCCTCTCAAAAAAAAAAAAAAAAAAAGGGCTCCCTTCTCATACTATCCATTTTTCACCCTTCTGTATTGAAGGGGCTTTTTACCATAATAGATATTTTGAATTCTAAAAACTATGACATATTTTAAAAGCTTTCTCAAAGCTGCTTCTCAATCTTCTATTAACACTAATGATACACTGGTCCTCTAGGGTAGCATGCTGAAATCTTTTCTCTACCTTATCCTTATTTCATATATCACACGATATCAACTCTAGCTGTGCAAATTTTCTTCTCCATCCAGCTACTTCCTCCCATCCCCATTGCTACTAACCTGCTTAGAGCTACACTTAACCATACTGGCCCCAAATCGTTCTGCATGGGCTATCTGCAGTAGAATTAAGATTCCATAATGATGAGGGTTCTCAGAGAATAAATACCAACATGAAGTATACATAACTACTTTTCTTGCCTGGCTAGTTCCAACCCTGGGTCCCCCTTTAGATTTTATCAGATTTCTTTTCCAGAAAGGACACTCTGAACCTCTCCTGCAATAGTCAGCTGTCCCGACTTGCTCACCCAGCCATTACTGGAATTAATAAAGCATTCTGTTCTACCTACACCATCTCAGCTTTACTCCACTAAATTTGAATTGCATGCTTGGCGAACTATAAGCTCGGGGATGGCAGGATTGTTGTTATTCGGGGCTTAACACCAGTATTGGTACACTGTAAGTACTTTCAATAATGAACCAAAGAATAAATGGAGGCAGGAATGAGGCCGTTATAGGCTGGGGAAGTAAAAAATAAAGTAAGACCACTTTGCTACTGGAGCCTGGACTGAACGAGGGGAGGAGCGGCAAGAGGTAGGAGGCGCGGTGTGTAGCAGAGCGCTCCGGACAGCAGCCAACCCTGTAACCGTAGCTCTTGTTTCTCACTCACGTTATGACCTTGGGCAAGTCATTTTACCTTTCTGGGAGTTCCCTTTCCTCAGATTTAAAGCAACGGCCTCTAAGATCCCACGGGCCAGAACATCGACCCCAGGAAGCCGGAGAATGATCACTGAATGCACCGGAGGGAGGCCGGGGTTTGCCTGAAGACCTGCAGGACCAACAGCGCCGAAATGCGGTACCTGACCGTTCCGTGCGGAGCACCGAGTAGCACAATCGCAGCCGCCGGGGCCTCTGAGCCTCCAGAGCATGAAGGAAAGCGGGAGAGGGGGCGAAGAGCTAGGATCGCGGAGACCCTTGGAAACATCGCCAAGACACAAACTAAACCGAGAGCACAGCGGAACAGCGCGTCCCTCTGCCAAACACGTCCCTCGCTCTCTCTTCCGTTCCCCGGCCTGGCGCGTTCCTTCCCTTCAACGTTCCGGTGAGCAACAGGGGCTGGAAACTGAGTTCCGGGCTCGCCCTCGGCCCGGCCCAGTCGGCTGCCTCCAGGCGAGTCTAGTGGCCTAAGTGGAGTGGATCCCCGAGTTCAGCTAAGATGTGCTGGTTGAGGCACGACCCAGACGGGAGAGGGAGAGAGTGGAGGGAGTGATCTGCTGTGCAAATACTACTTTGGGGAGGCCAGTAAAATGAGGCGGAGAACTGACCCTACTGGTTGGTGTTTGGGGTGAGGAAGCACAGCGTTCATCACATTCTCAGAACGATCCGTGGCCACGGCGTTAAAAAAGAAAAATTACCATAGGACACCCTGCCCGATAAATTAGTATTTCTTTTCAGTCTCTGTTCTTGATGTAGAGTCAAAACATGAGACATATATGTTTCATTTTTTTTTTCAAAGATAGTTTTAGAGATAAAAATCAGCACGAGAAAGGCGTGGCTTCTTCGTGCCCTCCACGAAGGCCGTGAGCAGTGGATGAGGGGTGGTCAAACCTGGAAGTGCAGGAGCATAAACCCCGGGGAGAATGCCAGCTGATAGGTCACATGGGACCCTCTAGCTTAGAATTGCACGCTGGCAGTTGAATGCTGACATCAACTTTTCCCCTACCATTTCAAAAGACAATCGAGATTGGTGGGGAATTTTTTTGTAAACGGAAATACAGAAAAGCGTATGAGTCATAAACATGTTGAGGAAAATGACCTTAATGAATTAGTAGGGACTGAAATTTAGCCTAGTTCAACTCTCTCTCTTTTGTTTTTTAATTTTTAAATAAATTTTTTAAAGATTTATTTATTTATTTTAGAAAGGCAGACAGAGAATACGAGCAGGGAAAGGGGCAGAGGGAGAGAATAGCTAAGCCGACTCCTGCTGAGTGCACAGCCAAAGACGGGACTCCATCCCGACCCATGAGATCAGGACCTCAGTCGAAACCAAGAGTACAAGGCTCAAGCGACTGAGCCACCCAGGCGCCCCCGACTCTCAAATACCTATTTCCAAAAGAGGCCTTCTCTAATTACCCTAGGTAAAATAGCCTCCTGCACCATCCAGTCATACTCTCTGACAGGGATTGCTGTTGTCTACCAATTCCCATTTGCCTCTTCCTCTGGAGTTTTATCGCCAGGTGGCCACGGCAGAAACTACATTTTCCAGTCTCCCTTGCAGACAGGTACCTCTGCGTCTTATCAATAGAATGTGAATAGAAGTGATGTGCCCCTAAAAAAATGGGCACAGATTCCCCCCAAACTTTTCCTTCTTCCTCCTAGTTGGAATACAGACAAGATTACAGGAGCTGAAGCAGCTAGGGAATGGAGAGATGAAGGATTTCAGAGATGAAGATGACAGCCATCCTACCTCTGTCCCTAACCACCTCCTCCAGACAGTCACGAAGAAGGGCCGGGGGCGGGACCACTTCCTTCTAGTTTAAAGGTATTTTTGAGTTTCTTTGTGACAAGTAGTCTAGATCGTATCTTAACTAAGGTACCCTCTATGTCAAAACTTTGTTTCATTTTCTACAGAGTATCACTAAGTGAAATTTATCTCATATTTATGTGCTTTTGTTATCTCACTCTGACAGAATGTGTGTTCCATGAAGGAATGGACTTTTTCTTATTCACTGCTGCAATTCTAGTTCCTAGAACCATGCCTGTCATATGATAGATGCTCAAAAATATTTGGTGAATAAATTAATTATTTCCAAGTACAAAGGAAGAAATAGGTGCAGAGAGTTTAGGTAATTTGCCCAACTTCTTGCAGCTAATCAATGGCAGGGCTAAATTTAAACTCAGAAGCATTTAACTCTGATATTCTTGTTCATCCTGGAATACCTGAGGGTTTATGATTTTACTTATGCATAAAAGTCATGTGGGGGCACTTACTAATACACATTACTGAGTAGCTCGGAAGATCTGAATCTGAGATTCTAGCAAGCACGTCAAGTGATTCTGGTGCAGGTGGTCTTCAGACAAAACTTTGAGATACACTGCAATGACAATATGGCCTATTTAGCTATTCACAGCTCTGCATACACTTAGGATACACATAAAGAAAAAAATGTTGTAATTGGTGCAGTATTAAAAGTAATGATCAGACTATTACTTCTGATGAACATCAAAGTCATTATGCTCAGTGAACAGAGCCAGACCTAAGAGACCCCACACTATATGATTCTGCTTCCATAACAATGTGAAGAAAACAAAGCTAAAGGGACAGAAATCAGATAAAAAGTTACCAGGAAGTGGGGATGGAAGGAGGTGATTGAGTACAACAGAACATGAAGGAACTTTTGAACTTACTGAAATACTCTGTATCTTGATTCTGGTGGGGGGTCATGGCCTTTCACCCTTGCCAAAACTCATAGACTTATACACCTAATATGTGTGAATTTTACTGTATATAAATGATATCTCAGCAAAGCTGAATTTAACAAAAAAGATAACTAAAGCAACTAGAAATTTGCAATTAGAAAAATGGCCACAAATTATACCACAGGAGGATTTCAATACATCCGAAGAAAAAGAAAAGGAAAACCTGTCCTTTGAAAAAACATAACTTGTGCAATTGTCCAAAGCAATCATTTATAAAAGCAACAAAAATGTAGCCTGAAAGTAGAAAATGTTTTCCCTTCCTTCTTCTATTCTGGCATAGACTTACTAGTCATTTTATTCTCAGTACTCCCTTGAAATGCACTTTCTAGAACAATGTGCCTTTGGCAAGAGGCAGCAAATCAACTGAAATAGGTCCTGATATATACATCAGTGACTTTGTCCTAAATGTCTCACGAAATTCTACACTAATGAACTTGACAATCCTTCTATGAACAGAAAAAGCAAAATCATTCTATATTCCAGTTATCAATTGCTGCCTAACACACCACCCCAAAACTTAGTGGCTTAAAACACTTTATTCTCTCTCACAGTTCTGTGGTTCAGTGGGCACAGCTGGGCGGTTCCCACTTAGGGTCTGTCATGTGGCTGCAGTCAATAGCAGCTGGTCTGGATCGGATGTCCCAGACGTTTTTCTCATTCACATATCTAACGGCACAGCCCAGATGGCTGGAAAAAACGGGGCCTGGCTGAGTAATATTCTCTCTCTCTCTCTCTTGCTTGCTCTCTCTCCACATGGCCTCTGAAGGGTAGCAGAATATGCCACCCTAAAATATACCACTTTGGTAATAAAGATCATTTTGAGCCGTGGACATTTAAGATGCAAATACAAGGGGTGCCCGGGTGGCTCAGTCATTAGGCGCCTGCCTTCGGCTCAGGTCATTATCCCAGGGTCCTGGGATCGAGCCCCGCATCAGACTCCCTGCTCAGTAGGAAGCCTAGTTCTCCCTCTCCCTCTGCCTGCTGCTCCCCTTGCTTGTGTTCTTTCTCTCTAATAAATAAATAAAATCTTAAAAAAAATTTAAGGTGCAAATACAAGTCGAGTTCTCTGCCCTCCCCCTCTTTGCCTAAAAGCAGGACATAAATTTGTGAAGGTGTCTCCCTCCCCTCTCTACCAGGAAAGACAAGTTAAGCACTGGATACAACTCCAGACCCTCGTCAGCCCAGAGATGGCACTAAAGGAATCGACATAACCAACTTTACTGACTAGCCCTTAGTTTACATCAGTTCCTCCATATATTTGCCTTTTTACCATTTGCTGTCCTAGAAGCTGAAAATCCTTGCCTTGGTCTTGTCACTTCCCTGAAAATTTACCACTGTTTTGTTCAGATGCTATATAAGCCCAAATTCTAACCACCCCTTTGAATTACTCATCTCTGAAAGCTCTCATGTGTCTGTGTGGTATATGCGTTAATAAACTTCTATTTGTTTTTCTCTTGTTAACCTGTCTTTTGTTCTGTCTAATTTACAGGGTCCCAGCCGTTGAACCTAAGATGGGTAGAAGGAAAAGAGATCTTTTTCCTCCCCTGCACCTCTCTATCTGGCTAGCTTGGCCTTCCTTCCTTCCTTAAGTGTGGCATCTTAGAGTATTTGAATTTTTCACATAGATACCAGCTTACCTTATAGACTTATAGTGAGTGTTCCATAAGGTCCAGGCTAACGCTGCACAGGTTTTTAGGACCTAGCATTGGAAATCACAGAGTATCATTTCCATGGCATTCCACTGTTAAAAAATGAGTTGCAAGGCCAGCCCAGCTCTAAGGAAGGGAACTATACCTCCCCTGGAATACTAGGAGGAGTGGCTCATTGGGATGACCTTTGGAGACTTGCTACCACCTCCTAGCAAACTTAATTAAGTCCATTCACTGTATCAGCCACTCTGTTGTCCTGTTTTGTCTTTTTTTTTTAATTTCCAACCATCTTGATGATAGTTCAAGAACTTCATATTTCAGTTTATATAAAATATTACAAAGAACTATCACAAACTTTAATTTGATCACTGTGATAACAATTGAGGCAGGCAGGGCAAGGATTTTTATTTTTATTTTTTATTTCTTAAAGATTTTATTTATTTATTTGAGAGAGAGAGAGAGAGAGCACACAGAGGTAGAGGGAGAAGCAAACTCCCTGCTGAGCAGGGAGCCTGATGCGGGACTCTATCCAAGGACCCTGGGATCATGACCTGAGCCGAAGGCAGACGCTTAACCAACTGAGCCACCCAGGCGCCCCAGGGCAAGGATTTTTATTCCCATTGTACTAATAAGAAAAATGAGCCTCAGAGAAGTTCGCTGAGTCACCCAAAGTCACATGACTAGTAAGTGCCAGCCCACAGCCTGCTGACTCCTAACCAGGGCTTTTCACTGGTTCTCATGCCTGCTCAATGGCATGTTTGTGTTTCATTGGCATCATTCCAGCCTGAATGTCGAAGTTCACTTGACAACATCCAAGTGCTGGTGTCGGCAAAACCATGCTTCTGAGATTAGTGTGGTAAGACAAATTAAGAAAAAGGAAAGAAAGATTTAGGAAGCTATCCACTAGAGAGATTTTAATGAGACTGTATCTCAGATGAAGA